CAGCCTGTCACACAACAATCCTGAAATTTCTCCAATTCATTATCACAGAGGTCGATCACGATCTTGTATTAGTATTCAGCGGAAAAAATTCCCAAAGTATACACTTAGTAACTTCACGAAGCTTCCAATTACGTATTTTCTTAAATCTTAATCTAGCCAATTGCTACTTAGAACATCCGAATTGAACTACTATGTCGGATGCGGTATCTTCGACAAACCAAAGTACATCTCACGCGGTGACAAAACTTCCAATACACAAACGCACGGAGAATGCACCTTCAAAACTGAAAAAACTAACTATCGAGAATTCCCCTGAGGCCGAAGCCTTAGACTACTTTATTCCTAACTAACACTGAGATGTCACTCGTTCTAATGCGAGCTCCGAACATGCATACCGCCCGTAGAGTCGGTAGTTGCCGCGCTATCCGACTTCCGATCTAAACCTAACCTACGCAAAACGGCCGTCGGTTTCAACTCCAAATTCGCTATCGCTTCACACGAACTAGTAAGAAACACATCTAACTTCCTAGCTAACTGACGCTGCCCACTAACACTACATGTTATCGTTGCGGTCGCCCAACGCTCCAGATCTCGTAACTGCAACCATTTCTACGTCTCGACGTGCCATAATACAAAGCCGTGCAAGCACCGATTCACCTTATCTGTCTAGGCGTTGTTCGTCTACTCCGCTAACTTTTGATTCTTCTCCTCCGCTTCGGACAGTATCACCTCCTCGGCCAACGATCGCTGAGATCATATCTCATTACACTTGACCTCCAATTTCTCTATCAGTTCCTGATTTGAGGTCCTAGCAGCCTCACACTCCACCAGAGCCTTCACCTTTGCTGCCACCTCTGCTGCATGCGCTCGATCCTTCTTCTCCGAATCCGCAATTAGCTCGTCTACCCTTCGCGACTCCTCGTTGAAAGCTACCCGAGACGCCTCTAGTCTATTCCAAAGATTGATTGTCGCACATCTGGTGACCTCAATGTTGGCCCGAAGACTCTCACATGTCTTTTCCAAAGACCTCCGCAATTTAACTTCTTCGGTTAACCTTTTTTGAAGTGCCTCATACTTCGTCTTTGTCTCCCGGAGTTGTCTCTTCATTGCTACTGCTTGAGCTGTTGCCACCTTTACCCGCGTCCTATTACGCACTAACTCCATGTAAGATCCGACATTGGTGGTACCTGCATACTTTCCAAGCTTGCTGTCGAGATATCGAAGTAGAAGTATCACTTGTCCACACAACACATCCACAGCATTGACCACTTCCGACTGAATCTCTTCTGCCGAAGTATCTTCGCTTGTCTTCAATATCACCGTTTTTGTGGACGTCCGAGGTGACGCCATCGGCTACTGCGCAGTAGTCTCTCCTGCTATGCCTTCCACTTCTATCTCTGCTATATTCTCTAGGGTCACCGGGTCCTCTTCTGTGTCTAAATACACTGTCAGCACTTCTACAGGCTTCTCCGAAGCAGCTCTTACTCTAGCTTCCGCCAAAGGAACTTAATTCCGCTCTGAGGTTCCTTCCTTTGTCATTATGGCCTTTCCTTTCTTCTTCCTCGTTGCCCGGCGCTTCACCTCTACCGAAGGTCTCATCTCAGAATTCCGAAGATCCTTCTCCGAAAACACATCCTTCTCTCTCCCAGAGTTCTCTGCTTCTAACTCCGTCCACTCTGCCAAAGTGAGATGTTCTTGCAACGCAGCAACACTACTGTCCGGGCTGCTATCAGCTTCTAATATCAATCGGCGGGCTTTCACTTTTGTCCTAGCCCGTGCATTAGACATCCTGACCATGGTGGTTACCTATCGGTGATCACGCGCTGCAGACATTGCGACCTCTTGAAGCTTCCGTCTCTTCCGCGGTAGCTTTGTCCTTCTATCTCAAGGTCTATCGGTTCTTCCCTAAGGTGAATCAATCTGCTCATCTTCTGGGTCGATACCGACCTGGCAGGCATTCAGAATTTCTTCTACGTCTCACGCGTGAGTTCGCAACGGAAACTTCTTCTTCTCTGCATCCTTTAGCAGCCTCATTCCTTTATAGAAATTAATTAGAAACTAAGACATGTAATTGGCCGATACTCCCGCAAGTACACCAATGTGTTGCCGTGTAACAGTCCAGAATATCCGTGCCCAGTGAATTCGATCCCCTCACAGCACTCGTTCCACGAACCCAACCTGTCAAGTCATCATGTACGTTGTCCGAGAAGATCAAAGGATTTGCATCAACGCCATTGCCACATTTCACCTGAAACGATCATGATACCTTATGGTTCGATATCCGTTCTTGCCAGTGCGCGGGTTCTTGAATAATACCGCATACGACTTCTCTTCAGCTCTCATTACCTTGACACTCTCACTGTCGAAGGTAAGGTCGCCGTCGTCACCTCCACAACTCCCCAAGACTTTCGCCCAATTTCAGATTTGCCAAGTCTCAGAATTTCCTCAATAGTCCAGTGGCTTCGGAGTGTACTTATCGTCTCACTCCTGTATCATTGCTACAACTACCCAATTCCAACCCCAGAGCAAGAAATCAAGTTTTGCGAGAATCAATTCACCACAATACGCTCGCAATCCCTCCTTTGGAACTCCTAGTGCAGTCAATCGAATTGCGCCATATCGCCTCATAGATGCTTCCGTCAATTTGAGCTTCTGCACCGCAATCTCTCGTCAATTCGCAATAGTGTGATCGTGAAATGTGGAAGCGGACTCGCGCCCTCGCGGATGTAACCTGTTGTCGCAACAGTAGAATCAACTGGTGCGATTTGAAGATGCCGTCATTCAAATTTCTATCACGTGCGGCGCCATCTTTTACTCCACTGGGGATCCTTCGCCAGAAAGACTTCGTAGTTAACTCCGAAGTCATCACGCCGAATACCGAATACTATCTTCTGAAGGCTGATCTAGGTCTTCGTTCCTTTCTTCCGTAGATCAAGTCCCACTGACCCGTTCCTTTGGCTTTGGACCTCATAGGCACCAACAGGCCAAGCTCTGCCTAGGGCGATCCTTCGTATTACCTACTACTACTTAGCATCGATACTAAAAGTTTTTATTCTCTTCTCTTCTAAATACTACTATCTCAAAAGTTAAAACTTACGTGTATTTTCCTTCTTAACTATCTTATTTTCAAAAAATTGAAAAAACTACACTACCACAATATTGTATAAAACTTACATCAAATCTATTCTACAAAAATTTAGCATTGTTCAATTGATCATTGATAAATAGATTATTTAATTCGTATGAGAAATTATTTCAAGACCTACATAAAATTTCTGAAAAAAATTACATAATAAAGATCAAATATCACAATTAATGCACAAATTACATGTTAACTTATACATGAACATATTTTGTGCTAATCAAATTTTTTTTGCAATTTTAGTTCATCAATTAGTCTTTGAAAAAATATGTTCTCTTTATCTGTTGAATTAAGTAAAATTATTGCATATATATTTGCTAGTAATATCCAAAGGTTAATTTTTTTGATAACACTAGTTTTTAATTTTTATTTTCATCAAAGAATTTCATCTGAGGACATTTCAAAGCATTAGTGTATGCAATATTATTGATGATGAGTTTTTACAATATATTCAAAACTTTAAAAAAAACACACACACAGCTCAAAAAAAAATAAATAATCCAAAATTGTTATTTTTACAAAATCCCCAATTATATAAATAAATGCTATGATTAGCTTTATATTTATGATAAACTAATTGATCTATTTAATCATGATTAAACTAATTAGAATTAATCACAACCTAAATTAACTTTTAACAATAGAAAAATATATGATCTTTACATCAACAAGGTTTTTTTTCAAGATTGATTTTATTTTATTAGCATACCAAAGTATACTTTCACATGATGTGACTAGACTAGTGATATTGCTACGTCAGGATAGAATGTATATTTCATAGTGTTGATTAGGGTTAGGGCATATCTATAGTTGGTTTGGAAGGACAAGAATACTGATACAAACATGATCGTTTAACAATCCTACATGTGACATATTTTCAAAAGGATGATTGACCATGCGGCAAGAAGAGAATACACATCAAGATATGTGAATATTAAGAGAATTTACATTTTCTTTCCTCTAGCTCAGACTTTGACGACTTGTTCGTGAGAATGCACAAAAGCCCACCATTCTACGCTGTTGTTGAATGTTTTCTTGGGTTTATGGTATATTAGCCCACATGTTCTTACCTCTACACCAATACCCACAGCTACTGTTTAGAGTAAAAGATCAATCATATTATGTGACGGATCTAGCAATGCTCTTGATATTTTGTGGATGGTTGTACTTAAATAGATTAGGTATCTCAGACGTTATAGTACATCTCCCATTCTTACACATAGGAATTGTATATGGTCCAGATGACTCCTTACCACAAGACAGCGGCTCGTTATCCTCACTTAGGGTTAATTAACCCTAACTCTACTCCAGGCTCTTCTCTGATTGGTAGATGCAAGGTTATAGGGTTCCGAATAATCAGAAAAGAGCTTACACTAGGGTGACCGCTAATTAACCCTAAACCAGGGTTTAACGAGCCCTCCCCTACCACAAATGCATTACTACGGCGAAAGAGGACGAAGATAGATACGAGTCATAACCCAAGTTGCCCCTCTTCGTCTTATTCCTGTTGCCACATCAAGTCAATTTTCAAGATCGGTTTTCATTTTTATTTGTTTTTAATCAGAAAAGAGCCTATACTAGGGTGAGGAGTTGGAAAGTAAGAACCCTAGCCCTCGCGTGGAAGAACCAGTACACTGTTTGTAGTCTAGACGAGAGTGATGTACACTTACCAACTTTTCTCGTTCACAAATCTGAATGTACAAAGCATTACAATCGACAGACACGACAACTACAATTGAGTTACGAGATGGTTGTGTGACTGATACATTCAGTGATCATGTAAGGTTATCACCTTCATAATCAAGTCAAAATAAGAATCATCTGTAATAGGAAAAGACTTTATTTCAATGAAGACTTGGAGGTTGCATCATAGAATGCGATTGCCTATGGTCTTCGCCTCCTCCAAATTACAATGGTACCAGTTACGGAAACATGAAAGATCATGATAGAAAGCTCATGAAAGCTCATGAATCAAAGAATTGGGAAGAGCATTCTAAGAACTGGTATGATCAATATCTTCATACCAAGATGATCTGCTCGAAACTGATTACCCGAAAAGATAACTTTTAATAACCAAGGGAACTTTCATCCCTGCCCAAGAATGAGGACCAGGCTTTCCTGTTGTGTATGTACCCTATGTACAACATGAACATGAATTTCTTAACGAGCGTAACCTAAGTTGTTATCGAAAGGGTGATTCCATCTCGTACATCTAAGAACATGATTTGTACAATCAACCAAGTACTAACTTTTGAAATGTATATAATTTGCTCAACATGGGAATGTGAAGGAGTTCATATACTATGTCGGTGGATGTTGTGTGGAACTGTTCTGCCACTTGGCTTCCAAGCACTTCCGATATGAAAAATCACTTGTCGAACCGTCAGTCCGAATTACATGGAAGCACTTCGTTGACGGATATTCTGGATGGTTATCCACCTACAAGAGTGAGAGCCACAATGGTCATTGACATGACTTGTAAGATAAAACATAGATAGTGAAATTTTGATCGGAAAAGAGAGAGAAGGTTCACCTTGACAGAAATCACTCCACATCCAAATTTCTCTTCCCTCCGTGGATGATGGATCAATACATCCTGTAATAACATCTTCTGCGACTCCGCATCCACTGTGTCGCCGACATTGCAACTGAAAATCACAGGTGATTGGGAGTCAACGAAATAGAAAAGGACTTATCAGCATAGGAAGATGCCAAAACCACCTGAGATGATTAGTTTGGATCAAAAGTATAATACATTCGAAAGAGAAGGAGAATAATGGATGGTATATATACAAATGTCGTCGTGCTTGAAATGCTCTAGAAGAACAGAGGACAGAAAATACAGTAGTCGGTAAGACAAGTTACATAAATGGGCTTAATATCAAGAGGGTCGAGTACAACCTCTTAAGAAGAAGACGTAACCTTTCCATGAGGTTTTTATCCAACATCTGGATGTCAATATTCTTTACAATGGTATCAAGGTCTTTCTTTCTCTTATGCAGCTTGCCATCGACAGAGCTTCTCATGACGCCATGCTGTTTTCTGGGCGTTATCTTGCCACTCTCTCTGTTAGCAATTGAGGAAGAGAGATAGCCCTTCAGGCCTGCCAGCAACTTAGATCCCGATTTGACACCATTTTGTGTAGTGCACTTCCTCTCTTCCTCCTGGAGACCATTCAAAGTGGAATTCTTTCCTTTCTCAGTATGGGGCAATGTGGATCCACCATTCAAGTTCCCAATTTCGTGTTCACTCTGAGTAGCCTCCATAGCAAACAGCCTAGAACTGCGAGATATGGTCCCACAAACTGCACTCTGACCAGCACCTTTGACATCACAAGCTTTCCCTATCTTCTTATTTACAAGTTGTGAACGCCGGACCAAACTTGGCTTCATAGGAATATAGGGTTCCTCTATGAAATATACATTCTATCCTGACGTAGCAATATCACTGGTCTAGTCACATCATGTGAAAGTATACTTTGGTATGCTAATAAAATAAAATCAATCTTGAAAGAAAACCTTGTTGATGTAAAGATCATATATTTTTCTATTGTTAAAAGTTAATTTAGGTTGTGATTAATTCTAATTAGTTTAATCATGATTAATTAGATCAATTAGTTTATCATTAAATATAAATCTAATCATAGCATTTATTTATATAATTGGGGTTTTTGTAAAAAAAAAAAAATTGGATTATTTATTGTTTTTTGAGCTGTGTGTTTTTTTTTTTAAGTTTTGAATATATTGTAAAAACTCATCATCAATAATATTGCATAAACTAATGCTTTGAAATGTCCTCAGATGAAATTCTTTGATGAAAATAAAAATTAAAAACGAGTGTTATTCAAAAAAATTAACCTTTGGATATTACTAGCAAATATATATGCAATAATTTTACTTAATTCAACAGATAAAGAGAACATATTTTTTCAAAGACTAATTGATGAACTAAAATTGCAAAAAAAATTTAATTAACACAAAACATGTTCATCTATAGGTTAACATGTAATTTGTGCATTAATTGTGATATTTGATCTTAATAATATAATTTTTTCAGAAATTTTATGTGCGTCTTGAAAAAATTTCTCATACGAACTAAATAATCTATTTATCAATGATCAATGCTAAACAATGCTAAATTTTTTGAACAATGCTAAATTTTTGTAGAATAGATTTGATGTAAGTTTTATACAATATTGTGGTAGTGCAGTTTTTTCATTTTTTCGAAAATAAGGTAGTTAGGAAGAAAAATACACGGAGGTTTTAACTTTTGAGATAGTAGTATTTAGAAGAGAAGAGAAGAAGATAAGAACTTTTAGTATCGATGCTAAGTAGAAGTAGGTAATACGAAGGATCGCCCTAGTTTCCTAAATACACAACGCTGGACCAAACTCGTTCCTTCGTCCCATAAATTTCATTCCCTGAACGAAGGCAGACACATAAATATGGCAAAAATAAGGGTGACAAAACCACTAAATGTAGTAAGGACATGAATATATAGTAAGAAAATTTCCCATTCCATTGACATGGGCATATATACCATAGGTGCGTGCCAACAAAGCAAATGACAAGACACAGTAGCTTACCGGATTCGGCACAACTTTGAAGTCTGCACCACTGCCGAGGGGTATCTGTCTGCCCCAAACAGCAGAAGCCAAGGCTCCACCAAGATTGTCACGAGCACCTCTAACGGCCATTTGGAAAAAGTTCTTCTTCGGTTCCTGCAAGAGAGTCTCGGGTTGTAAAAATTCAGAACACAAATTTGTTTGGTGCGAACACACCTCTTTACTGCAGTCAAATATGATCATCTTCAGCTGTAGACTGGAACAAGCGCAGCTGAGAAGATATCATCCAATGTATCATGATCACGGCCCTACATCCTTCACTAGCATATGATTCAGTGGGTCTTCTTACGAAACATTACTTGAAAGGAAGCCTGTGTAAATGGTGTTGACATGGATAGCTGCACGCAGTGATCCCTATAACCGGCTAGACTCAGGCCTGCAACCTCTCCACTATGTGTCAAGGCGTCCGCCACCAGAAACAGGTGCTCCTCTCTCACAGGTTTCCCCATGTCTTTGGTAGCCGAGCGTAATCTCTGCGGATGTAACAAGTAAAGATTGAGGTCAGGCCATTTCCCCTCGAGAATTTGTATATCTAATATGTCTCATCTTCGAAAAGCGGCTTTTCAATGTGATTAATTTCGACAATGTTGTCTCGGTAATAACTCGTCCAAATTGTTGCCCAAATAATTAACCCTCGAGAGCTGTCACCATGAACAGCATACTTAAACTTCACTGTATTAGTAATTGGTATTACCCTAAACATAGACAAATGAGCAGCTTCCACACCAAATGCCTGCTTAATCTCCTGGACCGAGTAAGGCGTGCTGCGTGCCCAGTCGATATCGTCCATGAATAAAGTAAATGCCTCCTTCACAATAGAATAGGCAGAACCTCTTCTCCCCGCGCCTTTCGGTTTTCTAGTATGTACTTCTAAGACCAGCTCCCCTTGGTCTGGGTTACCATTCATCGGGAAAGGCGGATAATGACATGGTCTCGCAACTCGGCATCCAGCATCCCTGTCCTCCCAAATGACTTTGACCTCTTCGATTTCGTCGTGCCCTATATTCTCCAAAGTAACCAACCAGAGGTCAGTGAGCTGGACTACGGTCCTCCAGATCTGGCAACTATGACTTTGGCACGAAGACACGAGCTAATAATACGAGCAAGCCAAAAAACCTCAACGAAAAATAAACCAGGAACCATTCTCAGGCAGCATGTTGATATAGCTAAATTGCAAAGAAATGAAAACCATAATATACCCATCACTTGTTGCCTGTCAAAATCCCAGAGACTGTGCTAATGACAAAGAATATTTGATGAATGAGAATATTTGATGCAAGATGGAGAAGAAGAAAACGAGAGAACTCTACAGACCAGAGGGTCCCTTTTATTTTGGATAGAAACAGATGGTACAGAGCTGATCATACTCTGTGGTACAAGTGTACCCATCAACATGGAATCCATCACTAACGTGACATCCGCTTGTCAGCTTAAGGTCAAATGAGACGGAAGAGATTTATGTAGTCAGAAATCAAGGTATTGAGCAAGTTTATATTCAAGAGGCAAGTAGACGCGCTTAGGTTGACAAATATGACGAAAATGAGATCTTATCAAACGAGAGTCGAAAAAAAGGGAGCAAAAATTCGAACAACCACAAGTACACAAGGACAAACAGAATTTATCAAAGACGCAGCCAAGACCCAGAAGCCTAATTATGTGAAGGATGTTTCAAAGAGTTATCACTATCTTTAAATAGGATGTTTCGAGTATGTAAAAATAGCGTTCGAGGTGAGGTAGTACTAACACGTGTACTTCCAACCCAAGAAAGACATTGTACACAACTTCTATTCAAACTGTTCAGTGCAGTAAATGTACAGCAAATTGCTATCTACACTAGTACATTCAGAAATTACCAATAACTAAATCTGGAGTGGTGAGACTGGAAATCTACGTATTTCGTAGGGTTCGACGACTCCAGTGACAAAGTTCGAAAATACCTTTCACGGTGGTGCTCAGTAGCTCAGGGATAAGAAAATTTGTGATCATCTCTGATGAAATTTTCCGGGTTTTGTCCTTTTCACCTTCAAGAGTGCGATTGGAAACGTTTTTTTCTCCTAATCTAATCGGGTTACTTGTTTGCCCGGTGGGAGGAGGAACTTCTCCACATTCATGAAAGAAGAAAACCAGGCACTCATCCATGATCTCCGGAAGAAAACGCGAGTTGTAACCAATTCTGCAGAAAGCGAATAAACTGCTTTCAGAGCACATGTAAAATGTGAGGAAATAAAATATAGGATGCTTACAAACCCTCTTCACATATCCACCTCAATAGTACAGAAGTTGGTTTGATCTTATCATACGTGTCCACAAAAATAATGCTTGGTAATCCGTCCGCAGATGTCGCGCTATTAAACTTATGGTAGAGCCGAACTTTCACTGCAGTTGCATCCAGGTCGTAATCCCTTAAAGCTTTCTGCAGTATAATAGATTCGTCAGCATAGATTCGATTTTAGAGTAGACGAGTTTTGGACTCGTCTAAGCTAGAAAATCAAAGACTTATCGACCATACAAGAAATTTCGTATTTAACAAGTAGCAACTTACCTTGTTAAGAAGTACACGACATTGCCACGGAGAAGACCGCTTCACACATTCGTTAGATGCTTTCTTGCGCTCGTCATAGTAAACTTTCTCGTATGTTCCACCATGGTTTGAAAACCTAATCACATGAAATGAAAGAGAAGATATACTATAGTAAGCATCACCCATTCGCTTCAAACTTTTTTGTTGTAAACACAATTCCAGCCATAGCGGACGTACTCAAGAGCTAAAGTGCTGACGAATTTCTTAAGAGGTACTCTCTCCACTCCTCTTTTCAGTCTTAGAGCACGCCTTTGTACTCCGAATTCAGGGAACATTCGCAAGATGACAGATCTGTCCCTCATCGTCAATGTACTCTCCCGTCTTGGAAAAAGCGTTTCCTGATAAACAAGCACGTCATCACCATACAATTCAGACCAAGAAAACAACTGATCAGGCCAGAGCTCCAACTAGGAAACTAAGGAACTCCTCCAAACTAGGTGAAACAACAGGGTCTATACCCCTTCTCTCAACGAACTATCTCGTTCGTTCACATAACAGGAACTGTAGCAGCTGGGAAGACATTATTTGTTCCAGCGTAAAGGTGCTGAAGAAAGTCAAGACATGACATTTCACAAGGTTGCTACACGTTGTTGAGAAAGAAACTGTACATCACAAACCCTGGAACCAGAACATCTGCATAGTACCAATTCAAACTAACATAAGCATCACGGAAGCAAAGAAAAGGTAAATCAGTAAAGCAAGCCTGAAACTAACAAACAGGCAAAGGGACCGAAGCGCAAGTTACGTTGACCTTCTAACCTGATCACAAATTTCTCAATCCATCTACGGGCTTAATATACCTGCAAAAGCTGTATTGGACCAGCCTTCAAAAGCTGACTTGAATGATATGAATCCAGCTTCACAGAATATGAAGGTTCAGCTATTGCAGTCGCAGCCAAAGCACCCACAGGTTCTCCAGCCATTTGTGCAGCCTCCGAGTGAGTCTCTTTACTATTCTTTTTCAATCCTCCATATTGAAATTGGATAATGCGCTTCGCAGTAGTATCTCTGACAGAGCCATCATAAGCAACATACAAGTCTCGCATGAAGAGGAAAAGGTTCCGCATGATCTTGTTCGGCTCTTCAATGCCTTCACGTAGCATTCCTCCTCTTGCGCTCCAAGTGTGTAGATAAAATTCAGCCGGGTTGAGCCCATCCAAGAAGGAACTGGTTATTATACCCTTCGACTCCCAGTATCCGGGTTGGCAGATAATCTCATTCTTGTTGTCAAAAACATCTTCTCTTCTGAATTTCAGAGACTGATTGTAATAAAACAACTTGTTATTTGGTTTGTTAACGGAAATTAGGTTCTCTCCCTTATAAAGTTGCAATCCCAAGCATGCGGTTTGATGGACGAGTCTACTCATTGAACCTTTGCTCCCACTCTTGACCATGGCGAGCAGAGAATTATCAGAATCAATATATGCGTATATAAGGTTATCAATGATAGGAACCGTGCTCTGAAATTTTTCTATAGCTGACCTCTGCAGATCCTTGATCTTTAAAGATTTTCTATTTTCTCCAAGCAATAAACCAAAGCAGCCCCCATGTTTGACGTCTTCAAGCGCTTGTAAGGGATCTGGTTTCGGGCATAATATCCTTGCCTGCACCGTAGGGTCAAGCTTTAAAACCTGTCTTAGAGATGCCTCCTCTGATCTCTGCAAACATCTTCTTATTCCTTCTAGCATAGTCCTCCTTGACTCCCTGGTCTTAGCTAAATAAAAATCTTTCAGCCCAACACTGAATCCCCGACTCATGAGCCACTGATGCAACATAGCTTGAACAGAGTTGAGGTACTTCAAAGCAGCCTTTGGGCCTGGATGGTCGCAGATGGCTTTTACAATTCCTTTTACTGATGTCTGGAGCCAACCTGAACTCCCTTTGCAGATCAATAACTCTCCGCTCTTCACATAGATATCTCCACGTAAGGTACCAAAGTCAAATCCACGAGGAAGGGTCATGCTATACAGCTGTTTCCCGGTCCAGAGTGGACCAGCAGGACTTTTCACTATTGCAGGAAGTGGCATAACTACGGAGCATGACATGCTCAACTGGCAGAATTCAGCGTGATTGAAAAAGTTATGATAGCGAGTGAGGAAATGTCCTCCCACTAAAGTGTCTTGAGTAAGAGATATTAGCACTTGCCCTCCTTGTGTGCTTACCAGTTGTGATGAAACAGACATAAGTTCACTAAGCTCAGCTATGCTCTCAACAGCCTGAGGCACAAATACGTGAAATGCATCCCCATCGAAGTCAGCATCAAATGGTGCACAGATCAGTGGATTGATAGCAAACGTCAGTGGATGATGAAGCTTCACCTTCAAGGCAATTAGCGAATGTTTATGTAAAGATGGAGGCCTGTTCGCAAAAAGGTAGTCTCCATTTTGTAGACACCGGGTAAAAACGTCCCCAGCTCTCACCTCGTAATTGCTCAATATTGATGAGCACTTTTCGCGAAGGTCGAACAGATTTTTCCGCGTCCTCAGAAACAAGGGACCCGGAGGAGACACCAATCTCCCACTTTTAATATCAGCTATAACTTTCTGCCAGTTACGGAGGTTCACACTGTTCACTGTCTCTTGCACTGTAAGGCTGAGAGCCATCTCATAGGGTATTCCAATCTCGCAGATGGAGATATTAGGATCTCCATTCACGATAGTTCGCGCTGAAAAGTTGGAGCGCTTTGATAACACATGATTTTTGAGCCACTTGAGTTCAAGACTTCCACCCGTTTCTTGCTCTGTAGTTTTTTGCTTACCAAATGAGCTAAAATCCGTCACCTGCATTCCGAAATTTATTCAAAACTACTGTTCACAGGCCAGGCAAAATATAATAGTCAACTTAGTAAAGTAACTAAATAGAGCTGAAATTTCCTCTGTTATATAAACACTATCAGAACTCCGAGCAAATATCTTCATACCTTACATGCCCTCAGATGCCTAGCAACCAGCAGTTGCAACTCTTCCACATCACGTCTCTCGGTGGTAAATGTTCGCTTACCACTTGATTTGGTCGAATTGATTTGCCTCACTTTGCTAACAAGAGCCTCTAGTTTAGAGTTTGGACCACCTCTGCCCTACATGATTTGAGAAAAGGAGCAAGAGTCGAGGACATTATTAAGAAAAGAAGTATAATTAAGAAGGAGGAACCCTTGACAGCTTCCAACTGAGGATCATACTTTATAGTTGACAGCTCAGGTTAGTTTATATGGTGAAATGACTCAAATAGCTCTGAAGGTTATCAACATACCAGAATGATTCTAGGCATAAGGGTACTGCTCCAATCATCCATAATGAGCCGATTGCAATTCGGTGTCACAGGAATCACAAAAGGAATAAATGCCTCAGGATGAGTGACAACTCTGTCCATATCTAATCTGGCATGATCTTCCACCGGCACTTTTCGAAGAATCTTCAGCGCCTACACAGGTTGAACCAAAAACCCCCTTGAAAGAATGAAAATCAAGTGATTCTTATCCGCCGTAACGTGGTTGTACAGAAAGGAAGAGGAAAGAGATACATGAATTTGGCGGACTTGTTCACGAACAGTATATTTAATGAAAAAGTACCTTCAAAGCGGGAAGAGAAGGAAAGATCTTAACCTCAAATGGAAGTAACACCCTCGAATTTTCCGTTTCTGCTCCGGGGTGTCCTCCGACGAAATCCCAGAATCCGCTGGGGATCTGAGCGCCTCGATGTTTTACTTCAGCAATCATCTGAATAGCGTCTACTCTACCGCTTCTTGTCACTATAGTAACAACCCGAAGAACAACTTTTGGAAACTTAGGTCCCAAACCTTCAGAACTCTTCTGCAACGAAGAACAAACAATGTGGGACTTTATTTGGTGGGGTTTTCATGAACGAGAATGGGCAATAGACACTGACGGTTTAGTTCCAAACTTGTAAGCGACTGTGCCTGTAATTCTCATCCATGAGCTGTCCACTTACACCACAATATCTGCAACTATTCTCCGATGCAGTCTCTGAACCATCCTCCCTCGAATGACCTGGATAAGCCTCAGGTTCTCCCCTCGGCTCCCGTCGAACCTGGTAACAAAAATTGTATCGAACGTTACAGGCGTAAAGCTGCAGTTGGGATGCTTGAATTCGTTTACCTCATTGCATATATTCACCTGAACGAGAAAGACATTTACGGCAGACCTCATCGGATGTAATCCACCGGGAAAAAGTGAACACTGAAATCGTTATAAGGCACGTCTACATTTGTAGACACAAAACTGGAATATTCGACTACTGACATTAATACTGTCACCTCTGGTAAAAACCTAGTCATCTACAACCTAATCTCTCATTCAGTCTGCCTTGCTGCCTGAACGTTCAAAGAGCAAAACCTGCAAGTGCAGTTGTGGACACGTCATTGAACTCAAAGCAGAAGGAAACGAGTGCGTGCGTACAGCGCAAACCTCTTTTGCGCCTCTTTGAGCAGACCCATGGAAGCGTCCAGTGACCCTAGTGTGAGCACGATCCTTCGTGCTGGACCTCCCGGCAGCATCCTTCACAGTTTTCTCCTGAGTCGGCGGCACAGGGTACGAGTCGTCGATACGAAAGTCCATAGGTTCATCTTTGACTTGAACCAGAGGTGGGGATGTTGATTTCGGAACAGATGATGACCATGAGCGATATTTAGTGGTGTAGACATCGTGGCCATCTTCCTGTTTTCATCCCCACACAATTTGCTATCACTTAAGAAGGATATGCGCCAGTGAAATGAACTGGGAAGGAAGCAGAGCAAACCTGAGGAACTGAACCATTAGCTGAATTGTCTTCTGAACAATCGAGACAACTACAATAAAACAAGAACAACCACAACATTCAAAGCGCTGAAATCTCCTTCTCAACGTACCATTCTGACACTCTATTCGGTACATGGCTGCAACGATGGCACCGCAATAATTTGTCCACATCGAGCATTAAAGAACGAAGGAGACTGAACGTATTTTCAGTACCTCTTTGACTCCGGCGACATCATTATCGCAATCCAACCTGTCGAGCCACTTTTGGATGCCATTTCGCTTACGACTCTTCGGCACTTTCTTCTCCGACTCCGTTTCTGAAAACTTACGTTTACGGGTAACTCTTTTCCCCGTCGCAGACTCTTGTGATTCCACTGCATCAGGAACATCGTCGAGTTGAATAGGATTTGGTCGAATCTGCAGGGATGTAAACAGCTAAATTTTGGTCCCATGTACGACATTGGAGTGCAATCAGCAAAGAACGGTTGTGCAATGTGTGGATATAGCATTCTTCAATATCACCTTCTTTTTGAAAGCTCTCGAACAGCCGAGGCAAATCTTGGATAGACACTTGACCACTCGTCGTACATGATAAGGATGGTAGATGGCTGACGGCAGCTCGATGTGGCCGAAGTGACCTGAAAATTAACAACAGCAGATTTACATGCCGTTTCCCGCACTATACACCAAGTTAATTTCATCGACAAATTAGATACAAGAGAATTAGAGTCGAAAGTTTAGCACCACCGTACCATCACAGCTGAGTTTCGCATCGCAAACCCCACGCCTTGTGCCTTGGCAAGTCTCACATCGCCTACTTTCATTGGGGATCCCCAGGCGAGCATCGTACAGGTCTTTCGGCCTTTCAATAAGCCCAGCAATAGAATCGTTTTCGACCACCGACAGTTTCAGCTGAATCAAAAACAGAGGAGAACGTGGATGTGATGTGAGAACTGGCATCTAGCATTCAATAGTTGACGAACAAGGCAACATAAAACTTCAAAGGACTGCAATAGCTTTTAACCAGCAATTTCTAAGAGACGTAATCGTTCTCAACCACGGCCACTGCCAGCTGCACTCTAAAGCGAGGAGCGCGTGAATGTCAAGTGAGAACAGGACTAGGCTACTATTGAACGAGCGAACATCTCATCAGACATCTCAACAGAATTCGGTAAACTCCAAACGCTCTTATCAAACAATCTCTACGAGATGAACTCGTATTCGACCACAGACAGTGTCAGCTGAGTACTGACACAGACGAACACGTGAAAGTCATATGAGAAAAGGGCAGAGCTCTTCACGAATGGGCTAACAGGGCGACAGAAACATTGAAATGACTATAATTGCCCTGATCAAGCAAATTCTACGAAACAGACCCGTTCTCCAACACAGGAGAATTTCGGCTGAATTTCGAAGAAACAGGGCAGCGAGGCGACATCAGGTGAAAACAGATCTTCGGAATTTCAAATGGCCGAGCATGGCAAAATAAAGATTCGACGGACTGCTCAATTCTAATCAAACAACCCGTGTGGGGTAGATTTGTTTTCGACTAAGGACAGTGCAGTTAAATTCAGCGAAAAAGAGTACGTGGATGTCAGGTGAGACAAGATCTTATCTATTCAAGAATGAACAGAAATATCCACAGAGCTGAGAAACTCAATTCAAGCAATCTCCATTTGATCAAAGAATTCATGACTACATTACGTACAATGTCATGACTTCTAAGGACGTCAAATTCGATCCCACTGATCTTCCAGCGTTCCACTTTCTTCATGTTTTAAGATAGTTGTCGGGGTTGAGCGGATATCGAAACTTGTGAGATCACCTTCTCGGATGCAATCCCAGGACGATTCAAGTCCTATGCACAGACTCAGAGGATCCTCCACATCATGCCCCTGAGCTTATAGAGGAGCGCTACGCGTGCATCCTCAGAGCAGGAATATCGGTAACCAAGAATCCATGTCGGTGGATGTCAATTTCACAACGGGATACAACATCTACCCCCACGAAGCTCGACATCTGAACTACTCCAAGGAGAATGACATTCTGTCAAAATTCCTCCACTTGTCTGGTATATGTACTTGTTCCAATTTGGTCCCCTTGACCGTCAATGAGACAGAATATAGGCACCCTCTTGTCTCTCAAAAATACAGCCACCTCAGGGACCGTCACATCCTGTCTCAATTGTCCACTTGGTTGACGTGGATGGGTCTCCCAACCGTGTTCTCCCAAGGCGAGGCAATGTAGAAGCCATCTTCTCACTCAAATATTTTGAACCACATCAAGAAAAACGACGTCGTGCCCGAATTCCTCCACTCCAGGGGAGGTCACCCACAAGGTGAAGGTGTCCTGTCGTGGAAGGTGAATGTAACGTCCTGATCTCACTCAACAGCTACATGCTCTGTTCTTTCCGACTGGCGGTCATCTTTTCCACCAACCGCGAAAAACACATGCTGTCCGAATTCGCACCGGAGTCACGCCTCTGTTACAAGAGGGGCAACAACACCCAAACACCAACCAATAAGAACTCCAAATCCATCGCTTTCACCAGAAAACGAGCGCACCAATTCTCATCACCAACACGGGGCCTTCCAGAACACAAAACAGGGGAAGTCCTCTGTTCCGTGGACTGCTTTGAAATTTTACGTCACCCATGAAAGAATCCAGAATGCTCTGCGCACGCGGCTTACATCGGGCTTCCTCCCCGACACCTCGCGGGCCGTCGAGAGCTTCCTTGCATCGAGAGCGGCCGCGAAGGCCCTTCAGCCGTTACGTTCAAATTATTCATCCGAAACATTTCCACGCGGCCCGGACTAGCAGCATTCGCTGGAGCCGCAGCAGCTCCGACGCGCAGGCGTGCAGCAGCAGCGGATGTCGTAGCGGGGCCCGACGACGACGAGACACGCAGAGCAGAATGAAAACGCCAAGCAGAATCGATGAGCCTTTCGGTGCCCTGCACATCTGCGACTGACGTCTGAACAAGATTTCGCGGTACAGTCTAAACCCAGCCTCCTCACGCGGGCCTGCTCATAGCCCCCTGAAACATCAGCCTCCTCCTGCACCGCCATCAATCTCTTTCACCAGCCATCTTGTCATAAATCCAGATTCTTGTTCTGTACTTTCTCTCGCTTCGGCCTCTGACCAACACAATCCGCAGCTCTGATTTTGCTCCAATGCAGGCCTCCCTCGCATCCCCTCCCGTCCGCTGCCCGTCCCGCCCGTTGCCTGTTCCTTTTCCGAGTCCGGCCTTTTTCTGTACCTTTCCTTCCGACCGGTCAAGTCCTCGGTCATCGTCCCTGCAGCGCCGACGATGACTTCACCGCGTCGAAGGTCCAGGCCTCGCTCGAGTCACTGTCATGCCGTCGTCGTCAGTCGTCTGTCGACTGTCGACCAGCCTCGGTCGACTTTCCGTCTTCGACGAACCCGAAGCTCGTCACTTCGCCTTCTCGTCCAGCACGGACCGACAGACTTTGCCGTTAGCCTCCGCCCTTCCTCCGTTGGTCGGTGGGGCCCCGCACGCTTGGCCGTGAACGTTGTCCGCCGCGGCACAGTCGTTCGTTCTAGGCTCCTAGTGCGTGACACTTATCCGTTGAGTCTTGTCCTATACGGGACTGTACCATGTCCGATCCTCTTCACTGCGTGCCCTCTTACCTGGTCAGCTCGAATCCTCCCGACAGCGACTGAGTAATTTGCTTCGAGGCCCCGGTCAGAACCGAGGGAAAGGGTTGGGTTAAAAGCGAAAGACGAGTCACGGGCCTCCGTACGGGCCGGGCTGTACGTCGACGCGAAAGCGCCGGGCCTTTATCGAACGCCGCGAAGCTGTCGCCGCCTTTCTCACTTTCCCGGCCCGTGTAGTGCCTGACTGATTTCGAGGCCGCGCGATTCAGTCAAGACTCGAGCGTGCGATGTGGAACTGGGCCATCATCGCTGACGCGAGTGTAGACCCGCCTCGTCCGTCGTCTCGGCGCAGCCACAGCCCTGCGGACTTCTATTTCTGGGGGTTTGTCTGCACCGAACGTATGAAGCTTTTATGGTGTTCCTTTCTGTTTGTTAACTAAACTAAACTTTTCCGAATTGCAGGGGATCGTCTCTCCGAACTGCGCTCCAACCACTCTCTCTACTCACGTATGTTATTAACAGCAATCAACAACGGCGTCACAGGATAAGAAACACTTCTGCGCTTTATGACAGAAGTGTGAGGGTGTGATCAGCGTTTGCCGTGCACGATGTCCATCGCCAACACAACAATCGAGTGTATAAGGTTGTAAACATTCTCCACGGAGTTGAGAGTGTTCCTGCGAGAGACTAACTGCCCGACCTTTTATGATGAGACGGAAGTTTGAGGAATTCATGATATGAGATTAGTACGGCCGAAACATCCCATTGTTAGCAAAATACACAGTAGCTTCAAGTTATTGGTGTTAGCAAAGTCGGATTCGGACAACGTGTAATGAGAGCTACTGTGCTGACCAGCTGTACATAGACCTCCCTCTCATCGACTGAGAGATAGACAGCGACGAAGGGTTGATCATCTGGTGAAGGAATCAAGGCTGTGAGGTCTATGCTATTCCAAAGAAATGGTCTCTGCTATTTCATTTCAATGGAGACGTGAGGTAAAGAGTAGGTTTGAAGCCTAAGGATTTTGATAAATTGTTCAAGTCAAACATTGATTTGTTTTCAAAATATGACTCAAGTAACTTGCATGAGTTACTTGTAAACAAAGTTGTGGTCTTATGTATATAGTATCATGTAATATATATGCTGCATTAAATTCTTTGATGAATTTCAAAAGAGTTAAAAAGAACCGTCAAATTGTTCACAATCATATGAAACTGATGAACTTTAAAAATAAATTATAAATTAAACAGATATAGAATATCATGATGATTCTTCCAATGATTTTATTATGGACTTGTAGAATCTTGGTGAGGAATTAGTGATGAAATAAAACTTTTGAATATACTCTGTTAGGATATGATTCTTAGCAGAAAGCAATATTCCACTCTCAAACATCAACATCATCAAATACAACATTGAATGTGAACCATGGTAGATCTATGAAGCTCAAAAATGATGTGGAGAAGAGCTGTAAATCTTGATCATTGTCCCAACAAAAATGTTAAGATGGGAAGATTGTGACCTCTTGAAAGTTTGCAAAACTGACCATCTTAAAAGAGACTGTCTTATTAAATCAGACAACGAATCTTAAGCATCTCTCATTTCAAGAATATGTCTAGTTTTATTATGAAATGTTTTGATTTTCACTCTGACATTTGGACTAGCTTGTACTTAAGAGAGTAAATTAACTAGTTCGAACTGGAGTTTGTAAAAAATACCTCAAAATACATAAAACCTGATGACGACTCAACGACATAACCGTTGATATGCATAAAAATTGAAAAGTCATCTGTAAATGAAAACTCAACAATTCTTGAAAAAAATAATATTTATTTTAAAATTTTGCTATTTGAAGCTTGCCACACCAATGCAAAAATCCTTAATCGTGGTGATAAAATCGCACGTTCAAGTAATAACAACAGTTGATGAAAATCCTGATTGATCTTTGATTTTATTTGCTATTTTATAAAAATAAAAAAAATTTACAACAGAGAGCAATTTTATTTTTTTAACTAAAGATGACATTATGTTTGTTTTGAGATGTGAGATAACATTTGCAAATTTTGAAATATTCATTTGAATATTTCAAATGAATTGATTATTATTGAAATTATGTATTGATTGTGAGACGCAAAACTATGAATAAAATATTTTTAACTAAATTACTTGACAGAAAAGATTTTTAAAATATAATATTGAATAAATCACTATGCATATTTTGTCCAAAATTTACTAAATCAAATGATCTGATCTAATAACAATACAAATATTAAAGAATGAATTTAATATTCATTTTGACAAGAAATGTTGTATACATCTAACATGATAATTGCGTATAAAAAACAAAAATTATTTAATGTTGAAGGTTTATGACAAGAAAAACAATGATCAATTTAGTAATATTTGTTTCACATCATGTGCAAGAGATTAATGTGCGGCTGCTTGTTAGATTTGCAATTGCAAGAAAATAAAATATATGTTGTGAGTTGAAAATCTTGATTTAAATCTATGCAAACACAAATTGAATAATATGAATACAAAATAAAATAAAATATCCTAAAATTGAGGTTAAATTTACTTAAAATGAAATATAAAATATTTATATATTTCATCTTGAAAATAAACTGTGATAAAAACTTATAAAGCATTATGAAAACTTATTTGAATTCTTATCTAGCATGATGAAAACTTATTTGCAATTGTATAGACTTGTCAAAACTATTTTCATAATTTTTTATTTTAACATAAAAAAATCAACATCATTTTGTCCTTTAATATACGCAAATTTAGCCAAAAAAATCGCGTGAAATAATTCTTTTGTCATACACTCAATAGTATAATAACAAAAAAATCAAAAAATAATTAAAAAATAATAGAAAACATAGAAAATTGTCTCGAGTAGAAATAACATGCCATTGAGTTGTCACATTTGAATTGATTTAAAATTTATTTTTAATTTTTATAAATACATACAAGTGATGGATCTCAATAAATATCTTTAGCCAAACTTCATCACACATAATTCTTTCACTCATGATCTAGAATAAAATTTCTAAAACATCAAAAATATTTTTTTTGCTATTAAAATAATATTTCCAAAAAAAAGTCCTTCGTGAAATAATTTTTTTTCTGTATAATATTTCAAATTTATTATTTATAAATAATAATAACTATCACATATATCTTATGTCATTATTGAATGATTGATTTTGGTAATTTGTATACATAAAGTCATACTAAATGTGTCATCTATTTAATCAAAAATTTTATTTAAGATTGATGAATTGGGATTAACATGATTTTGTCACCTTCAAAAAAGTTGCAAAACTTTTATTTAATTTTTTTCAAGTTAAAAAATCAATTTGTCACTGATTCAAATTGATGTTGAATCAAATCATTTTAACTTCCAACTAAGTCAAACAAATCAAATATTGTTCTTTAGATGAATGAATTTATATTATTGGATAAAATTATATGATTTCAAATTCTATTTGGATAAAAAAATTATAGTTATTCATAAATTCTTACAATTTTTTTTGTTTTTATCAAATAAACATGTATGTGCTGTAATATATCATGAAAAAGAGAAGTAAAGTCAATTTTGTCAATAATTTTAAAACAAATACAATCGTACAATAATGATTATCAGTCAACAAACTTTTAAGAAGACATAAGTTTTGTTGATTCACTTTCAATCATCAAGAATGCATAGATAGATATATTTACAGTTGAAAATATTAATTCAATAAGATTTTTTCATTTTTTCATCTTTGATCCGAATTAATTAGAATTCAAATATACCTTAGATATCTTTCATAGCTTTTCAGCAATCCAAAAAAATTGATATGTATTACAAACTCATAGTAAAAAACTCTCAAGATGTGTTCATTCATTATTCCAAATTATAAGAAAATATTATTTAAATATAATTTAAATAAATCATAATTATCTTGATCATTTTATCATGATTAAGATTGTCATCTACAAAAACATGTTATAAATTCAAAATTATTTATTTTCAATATTTTCAAACTTAATGATTGCATAAATTGAAAAAAATAATTTAATTCCTTGATTTTCAGATTTTTTTAATTGACTACATTTTGTTGAAGCGATATATTCAAAATTAGAAATTGACTCAAATTTCAAGCAAGTCTATTAAGTTTGTGCAAGAAATTTAACAATCAATGCATATATTGCAATTGCATTGATGCAATCTCAAATTGATTTATGGATTTGTTTAAAAATTGCAGATTATTAAAACACCAATTGACTAATTGAGATTTAGTCAGAATTTTCATCATTTGTTATCATAAGCATTCATTAGCAATGCGAAAAACATTATGTATAGAAATAAAAAAAACATTTTTCAAATGCATGAGTAAAAGTATTATGATAGTTGTATAGTTATTTTTCAATAATCTATCTATATTTAAAGATTATTTTTAATCATATTGTGAATTAGTTTTTAATTTGTACATTCGTTTGCTATCAAGATAGATTAATGCTTTGCAAACTCCACTAGCTTCAAAGTTTTGTTATCAATCAGCAGTTGGATCTCACATGTTTAAAGAATAAATAATTGATTAGATTATTGATTTTAATCTTGCATTATTAATCTATGATACTTTAGTCTACTATCTTGATT